TCTTAGAGCCATGTTAATGGGAAAAAAAAAGCCATCCACACTTATTCACTGTCTAATAGCAATTGAGGAGATGATGGGCTAAGCCAGCCCAAGAAACGTTGCTAAAACAGTTCGTGGCCGTAAGTGTCAGGTCTGTTTGGAAATAATAGGTAGAAGTTGTTACCGCTTTCTCTCGTGTGGCTTACAGAGATAAAAACAGCTGCTTCTTGGTTCACACTATGAAACTCCCAAACGGCTTAAAATAGACAGCTTTCTTGTGGCTTTCTAAACTTAGATGTCTTGCTAAACCTGCGTGTGTTTTCTTCCAACAGGTTGCAAAATAAAAGCACTAAGGGCCAAAACGAATACGTACATTAAGACCCCTGTTCGTGGAGAAGAGCCCATCTTTGTTGTCACCGGACGAAAAGAGGATGTAGCCATGGCCAAAAGGGAAATTCTCTCCGCTGCTGAACACTTCTCCATGATCAGAGCTTCCCGTAACAAGAACGCCTCTGCCCTGGGGGGCTTGCCGTGTACCCACAACCTGCCGGGTCAGATGACGGTCCAAGTCAGGGTGCCTTACCGTGTAGTTGGGCTAGTGGTTGGACCGAAAGGAGCTACGATCAAACGAATTCAGCAGCAAACCCACACCTACATAGTCACTCCCAGCAGAGACAAGGAGCCCATCTTCGAAGTCACGGGAATGCCTGAGAACGTCGACCGTGCACGCGAGGAGATTGAGATGCACATCGCCATGCGTACCGGGAGCTACGTCGAGCTGAACGAAGAGAACGACTTCCATTACAACGGAACGGACGTGAGCTTTGAAGGAGGCACACTGAGATCTGCCTGGCTGGCTTCCAACCCTGTCCCTCCTAGGCACACCAGAATGATTTCTAATTATAGAAATGACAGCTCCAGCTCCTTGGGAAGTGGCTCCACAGATTCCTATTTTGGAAGCAATAGGTTGGCTGACTTCAGCCCAACGAGTCCGTTCAGCACAGGCAACTTCTGGTTTGGAGAAACGCTGTCTTTGGTGGGCACAGAAGACCTTGCCGTCGACTCTCCCGCATACGACTACGACTCCCTCGCCTTCCCAAACAATTTGGACTCCTTTCGAACCTGTAAACCCTCTCTCTGGCTTCGGCGGTGACCCTACTAGCAATGCCAAGCCTCTGTGCCAGGGGAGTCAGCCATCTACTCCTCGCCTGTCACCCACATTTCTGGAAAGCCTGGATCACCCGCTGGCTAGGAGAGTGAGGAGTGACCCGCCTAGCACCAGCCACCACGCCGGCCTTCCCATGTACATCCCCGCTTTCTCCAATGGTACCAACA